TTAGAATCAGCTTGTCAATTTCTACATAAAAGGTTGCTGGTATCAAGATTGTGTTCAATCTGCATGTCAATTTGGGAGAATTTATATCTTAACAATACTTAGCCTTTCTACCAATGAATGTGTGTCAGGGTTGTACCCTTTCACCATACCTATCCAATCTGTATGCTGAGCAAATAATCTGAGAAGCTGGACTGTATGAAGAAGAACGGGGCATCAAGATCGGAGGAAGATGTATTAACAAGCTATGATATGCAGATGACAGCCTTGCTTGCTGAAAGTGAAGAGGACTTGAAGCACTTACTGATGAAGATGGAAGACCACAGCTTTCAGTAGGCATTACACCTCAACATAAAGAAAACAAAAATCCTCGCAACTGGACCAATAAGCGACATCATGATAAAAGGAGAAAAGATTGAAGTTGTCAAGGATTTCATTTTACTTGGATACACTATCAACACTCATGGAAGCAGCAGTCAGGAAATCAAAAGATGCATTGCTTTGCACAAATCTGCTGCAAAAGACCTCTTTAATTGTTGAAAAGCAAAGATGTCACCTTGAAGACTGATGTGTGCCTGATCCAAGCCATGATGTTTTCAGTCACCTCATATGCATATGAAAGCTGGACAATCAATAAGGAAGACCAAAGAATTGTCACCTTTGAATTATGGTGTTGGCGAAGAATATTGATTATACCATGGACTGCCAAAAGAATGAACAAATCTGTCTTGGAAGAAGAACAACCAGAATGCTCCTTAGAAGCAAGGATGGTGAGACTACTTCTCACATACTTTGGACATGTTATCAGGTGGGATCCATCCCTGGAGAAGAACATTATGCTTGGTAAAGTAGAGGGTGAGCAAAAACGAGGAAGCCCCTCACAAAGATGGATTGACACAGTGGCTGCAACATTGGGCTCAAGCATAACAACAGTTGTGAGGATGGTGCAGGACCAGGTAGTGTTTCCTTCTGTTGTACATAGGGTCGCTATGAGTCAGAGCAGACAAGAACAACCAATGAACAAAATATATTTTTCTGTTTATTTAGGTTTTCTTAATTTCTCTCAGCAATATTTTGAAGTTTTTTAGTGTATATGTTTGCATGCCTTTTGTCTGATTTATTTCCTAAGTGTTTCATATTTTTATGCTATTGTAAATGGTTTTATATTTTTAATTGCTATTTCTAATTTTTTTGTATATAGAAAGAGAGTTAATTTTTGTATATTGATTTTGTAGTCTATAGCCTTGCTAACCTCACTAATTTCAGTAGTTGTTTTGTAGATTTCATCAGATTTTCTGCATACTTTTACTTCTTCCTTTTCCAATCTGGATGCCTTCTATTTCTTTTGTTTTCCACATTGGATTGACTAGAACTTCCATTACAAGTTGGATAGAAGTAGTGAACAGAAATCCTTGTTTTGTTCCTGATCTTAAGGAAAACCATTAAATCTTTCACCATTAAGTATCAAGTAACATGTTTCATAGATGCTGTTTATCAGGTATGGAAGTTTCATTCATTCCTAGTTTGCTTGGAGTTTTTATGAGGAATGGATGTTGGATTTTGTCAAATGCTATTTCTTTGTCTATTGAAATGAGAGTATTGTTTTCTGTTTATGTTGTTAATATGATGAATAACATTGATTAATTTTCAAATGTTGAACCAATCTTGTATTCCTGGAATAAGCTTCACTTGGCCATTATGTATTACCCTTTTAATATATTGTTTGATTTGCTTTGCTAAATATTTAGTTTAGAATAGAATTTTTGAGTTGATGTTCATGAGGGATATTGGTCTATAGTTTTCTCTTCGTGTAATGTCTTTGTCTGTTCTTGCTATCAGGTAATCAAATAGTGTTGTGAAGTGATCTCTTCTCCTATATTTTCTGGAGGTTTCTGTAAAGGATTGGTGTTAATTCTTCCCTAAATATTTGGTATAATTCACTGGTGAAGCCATTTTGGCCTGGAGCTTTCTTTGCTGGAAAATTTCCAATTACAAATTCAATTTTCTTAATAGATATAGCGCTATTCAGGTTATATATTTTTAGTTGAGTGAGCTTTGCTAGTTTGTGTCTTTTAAGGAATTTGTCCATTTCATCTAAGTTGTCAAATAAATTGGCAAAAAGTTGTTTATAATATTCCCTTTCTATCCTTTTAATGTCTGTAGAATCTGTAATGATACCACCGCTCTCATTTCTGCTATTGGTAATTAGTCTTCTATCTTACTTTCTGATAAGTTTGCCTAGACATTTAGCAATTTTTTACATATTATCAAAAAATCTGTTTTTTGTTTCACTAGTTTTCTTTATTGTGCTTCTATTTTCAATTTTATTGATTTCCACTCTAATCTTTATTATTTCATTTCTTCATCTTACTTTGGGTTTAATTTGCTCTTCTTTTTCTATTTTCTTAATATTGAAATTGGGGTTGTTCATTTGAGACCTTTCTTCTTTTCTAAGTTAGGTGTTAGTGCTGTAAATTTCTCCCTATATACTCCTTTAGCGGCACCCCACGAATTCTGATAGGTAGTCTTTTCATGTTCATTTAGCTTAAAATACATTCTGATTTCCCTTTTTGTTTTCTTCTTTGACCCATGAGCTATTTAAAAGTTATTTATGGTAATTTTTGATTGGATGCAAGACATTGTGAATTTTATCTTCTTGGGTGTTGGCAATTTTTGTATTTCTATAAATAATATCCTTAAGCTTTCTTCTGGATGGGGTTAAGTTACTGAAAAACAACTTGATGCTTTAAAGTCTTTCTTTTAAACTTTGTTAAGGCAGGAAACAAGCATCGTTTGGTCTGTGGTTAATTTTTCTTCATTATTGAGGCAAAACTCATCTGTGTAGTCTACCCAATGCCCTGTGAATTCTTTGATTTTCCATTTTGGTGGATGAGAACAGGAACTATTCCTGGCCCCAGTCATATTAGGGTAATTGTTCCCTCTATTCCTATCATGTGTTTTTTTCCTCACACATATATGCTGATCAGTACTCCACTAAAGCCTTAAGAGAGACCCCTGTAGATCACCTGTGGTCTCTGTCTCTCTCTGTGTGCAGCTATCTCCTTCCTGGTACTCTGCCCTACAAACTCTAGCTTCCTTGGCTTCCCCATATTCCCAACTGCATCTCCTCAAATTAGGGATACTGCTGGGCTTCATCTGGGTAACTCCTCCCTCCACTAATGCCTGCAAACTCTCTCCAGGCAGTAAGCTGAGACTGTCATCAGACTCATCTTTTTTTGCCCCATCACTCCGATCGTTGTCCTTTATTGCCTGATTTTCAATTCCTTTAAAATCATTGTTACATATATTTCCCCCAGTTTTTTATTTGCTTCAGGCAGAAGGGATAAAATGAATCCCTGTTGTCCTATCTTGACTGGAAGGAGAAGTAGCTATTGTGTGTTTTCAAAGGAAAATTTGGCTTTTTATGTCAGAATTTTAATCGTGTTTGTCTTTTGACCCAGAAATTCCAGGCACTCTTATAGGTGCTGGAGATACAGCAGAAAACTAGACACATATGCCTTCATGTAGCTTACAGTCTAGTGTGTGAGACAGACAACAAACAAAATAAATACGTAAAATATATGGTATTTTCAAAAGTGATAAATGCCAAGGAGAAAAAACACCATACAGGGAAGGGGATAGGAAGCATTGAATAGAGAGAGGAGTGCCAAATTTTAGATACAGTAACCTGGAAGGCCTTAATGAGAAGGGTATATTTGAGCTGAATACTGAAGGAATCCAGAGAGCAAGCTATATGGATATCTGGAGAGGACACTCCAGGTAGAATAAATAGCCAATGCAAAGGCCCTGGTGTGTTTGAAAGAATAGCAAAGAATATTTGTAACAACTACCATAGTGACTGAAAAGATGCTCGAGGGAATTCTGAATGTTTGACTGTTAATGGTGGTGGAACCAGGAATCTGACCTAGAACTGTATGGCCTCAAAGTTCATCTGCTTGTTGCTATGTCATATTCTCTCTTCTCTGTGTCATGAAAGATGGGCTGCATTGTAATTGTTCTTGTGTTGTTCTTTATCATTGTCCAGCCTTTATACAGGCTTGCCTTGTGTTCCAAGTTATGCAAGTTCCAAGATTATCCAGCCTATGTTGACTCATTCCTGATAAAATTGGTGTTGATTTAGTTATTCCCACTGGCTAGGCAATGGTCCTCTTCTTCCTTCACCAAGTATATGTGTCTTCCCAAAGTGTATTCACTTTGGCTAAATGGTCAGTCTCCTGATAGAGGAAGATCCTCAAGTACATACAAAGCACTATATAAAAATTTTAACCACAGCTGCTCCCTCACTCCTCCAGCACTCTTTATAGCTTCCAAGACACTTTGATTTTGCTTTTCTATTTTAATTTAGTTTTGAATAGGTAATGCACACATAGTATGAAATTTAACAAGAACAACAAGATATAAGAGTGAAAAATAAATTTGACTCCCTCCTTTCCCCAGACACCCATTATTCCTGGCTTCAGGCAAACAGTGTAACCAGTTTCTTTGGTATCCTTTCAAATATGTTGAATGCATGTGTGTATGTATGCATGTGCGTGTGTTTAGTCTGCTTCCACACCATCACCCTCCACCCATACAAAGCACCTTGACAACCCTTGTCACTTGATTCTCACTACACCCTGTGAGGTAGATGGTGCTATCCCCATGTTACAGATGAGGAAGCTGAGGCTCAGAGAAGGGAGATAACTTGCCTAAGTTCCCCCAGACTTAAGTGGAAAATCCAGGACTGATGTTGCAGTCTTTTGTCTACATTTTTTCCTCCACACTGGGAAGTGCCAGGCCCTGTGCCTTGAGAATGGTAGGAGATCTCTAAACTTGCTGGTAGCTAGAGTGATTAAGAAAGCCCTCCAATTCCTTTAGTCATATTAGTATTATTATGGCCAACTCTATATGTAATCCTGGCAGGTATAAATTGGTAGGTATCATTAAGGAAATAAAACCTGGATCTTTCTAATTGTTTGCTGTATATCTTCCCTCCTCCACAGATCTATTCAGGTCCACCTGAGGAAAGTACTGCACCCCCAGTGCCTCCGCCTCGAGTGACGGCTAGAAGACACAAACCAATCACAATTTCAAAGCGGTTGCTACGAGAAAGGACAGTTTTCTATACTTCTTCCCTGGATGAAAGTGAAGGTCAGTACTGAGATTACCCTTAGTTTCTGAATGGTAATTAGACACAAGGAAGATATTGAAGGGTTAAAGTGGGGGAGTAGCCATTTTTCTCTACAAATGACCTTTCCTGTATCCTGGGTTTAAAAGCAGCCAGGGGAAGCAAAGTTTGGACAGTTTGTACCCAGAGAGGGAATTAGTTTGTTCCCAGAGAGGGAATTAGTCCCTTGGAAGTAGATAGAACAGGAATGAGTTTGAAAAGGAAGCTACCATGATCTCTCAGGAGGCCAGTGGAGGATCCAAGATGTTCTTAGATCTGTACTGCAAGAAACTGAAATGGGAGAGCAAGGTGCTTTCTTAATATTCTGAGATTTTACATTCAAATTTGGCTAACATGGGTTGAATACATCCTATGTGCCAGGTAGTATACTAGGTGCTAGGTAGAATTAAGTCACAGTCCCTGGCCTCAAAATGCTTATAGGCTAAAGGGAGAGATAGATACACAAACAAAGAAATGCCATTCAATGGAATAATTTCTTGTATGGAGACTCCATCCATTCTAAATGGGCTTCTGCCCCCATTACTGCATTGAGACCACTCTTGTAAAGGTTACCAGTACTCTCCATATGGTCAGATCAAATGGCCACTCCAGTGTCCTCACCATACTCAACTTAGCAGCGTCTGACACAGTTGGCTAACTCCTCCTTCTTGAAACTCTTTATTCACTTGGCTTTCAGGACACCAAATTCTCCTTCTACCTCATTAAACATACCATGTCAGTCTCCTTTGCTAGTTTTCCTTCTCTTCCCAACTGCTAAATGTTGGAAGGTCCCAGAGCTTTCTTTTCTCAGCCCTCTTCTCTGTCTGTGCCTTTTCCTGTGTGATCTCATTGAATATCATGTTTTTAAATATCATTTAAATGTTAAGAATCATTCCCAAATTTATATCCCTAAGACTGATATCATCCCTATACTCCCAACTCAAATTTCCTGCCCAACAGCGTTCTTTGGAATACTCATAGATATCTCAAATTGACAAAACGCAACACTTGATTCCCTGCTCCTTCTCAATCTGCTCCTCATCTGGTCTCCCCCATCTAAGTAATTGGCAGTACAGGTCACCCAGTTGCTAAGGTAAAAGAAAAATCTTTGGAATCATCCTTGATTTCCCTTTCACCTCGCACCTTTCTTTGATACATTTTAAGTTAGTTTTTCTGCATGGTGTGAGGTATGGGTCTTTTTTCAGTTTTTTTTTTTTTTTTTAATATTTTATTGTACTTCAGGTGAAGGCTTACAGAACAGATAGTTTCTCATGTAACAGTAACACACATGCTGTTTTATGACATTGGTTA